GCTTTCTCACCCAAGTGGGTGCTTAAGTAGTGTTAATAGACTAGTCAATTACAGTCAAACACAGACCTGTTCTTACTGTGTCAACAGATGCTTACTAATAGGCACCAGAAGGAAGTCTTGTTGATTTTTTTCCTTCTATCTGTAGTCCAGAAGCACAACTCCAGAACCCTGACTGAGATCATCCAACACAAGTACATCTGATTTCAGACCTGAGACTATCCTGCACAATTCACAATCAGTGTGATTATTGGTGAAAGTCAGAAATCACACAACATCAGGTTATAGTCCAATAGGTTCATTTGAAAACATAAGCTTTCAGAGTCTTACTCCTTCTTCAGATGTTAGTGATAGGTAGTAATAGACATAGAATTTATAAGTAAAATATCAAAGGGTCACACTACTGATAAGGACATACTAAACAAACCTAAGATGCTGTTAAATCTTTAATCATTTAGAAGGTTTCAATTGATTAATATGTATATGTAAGTCCCCGAATTCCTTCAAAATCACTGTTCTGAGAGGACTAAAAGTTTTATCAGTGTAAAGAAGAGGTGACATTTTAGGTCAGACGATGCATGTTAGGTGTGAGGCCTTGTTTAGAATCTGTTTGTATTTTGGTTTGGAGTCAGGCTGGTTTCATTTCTAAAGTAGGGATTTATAAAATACCACATTGACTGACTGTATAAATTGTGTGCTTTTTGAACAAAATAGAATGTACCTGCAAATACAAATTCACCCCATTGATTCGTGTGTGCGTACAGCCTGCGGGGGGGGGGGGGGAAGGGTGCGTGAGTGGGAGGGAGGTAGGTGTGTGTGTGTGTGTGTGTGTGTGTTCTTTAGTTCTGTGGCCCAGCGTCTTCCTGTTGCTTCATACATCCACTTATAAATGGAGCTCCAAAAACTGAAAATTATCCATACCTAAAGCATCACAAGTACACAGTGTAGAAGAGTAACAACTTTGAATAAACAACAGCACAAACACATTCCTATCATTACATTCTACAAGGCAGTTCTGAAAAAGTCTTTATTTGAAATATTCATGTAAATGTTTGTTAAAATAGTAAACTTGCTGCATATTTCAGCTCAATTCTCTCTCTTTAAAGTCAAATCTGGTTTTTATCTGTGCTTCTAATTTATCAGCACTGTAATATAATAAACATTTCATCATAAATTTGTTAATTAGCTTCTGGCTAGATGTTGTCAATATACAAGCATGTTTTGTATCAATGTTATAATTTATATTTAGTTTTATCATTGCTCAATACAATAAGAATAATCTGTGAAATTCCACTGTAAGAATGGCATGAAGGGTTATGTGAACTGTTGTTCATGCTAGGTTATAAATTATTATCGTATTTGCTGATGATTAATAACAACTTCTGTCCTTTGCCTCGGGTAGAATGATCTGTAACTACAAAGTAATCTGCTTTGCATTCCACCAAAATTTGATCAACTTCTTCATGACCAAAACTGACAGATCAAAGCATCAAACAGTAAGAGATTTCAATTTACAAGTTCTCCACACTAAAAGCAAAGGTAATGCCCTTTGATGTCTGGCCACATAGAGCCATAGAGTTGTACAGCACAGAAACAGACCCTTCAGTCCCATTCGTCCATGCTGACCAGACATCCTAAATTAATCTAGTCCCATTTGCCAGCATTGGGCCCATATTTCACTAAACCCTTCTATTCATATACTCATCCAGATGCCTTTTAAATATTATAATTGTACCAGCCTCCACCACTTCCTCTGGCTATTCACGCACCACACACCACCCTCTGTGTGAAAAAGTTGTCCCTTAAGTCTCTTTCAAATCTTTCCCATTTCACCTTAAACCTATGCCCTTTAGTGTTGGACTCCCGTTCCCTTGGAAAAATACCTTAGCTACTCACCCTATCCATGCCCCTCAGGATTTTATAGACCTCCAAAAGGTCACCCTTCAGCCTCCAGTGCTCCAGGGAAAACAAGCCAACCTAATTCAACCTCTCCTTATAACGCAATCCCTCCAACCCTGGAAGCATCCTTGTAAATCTTTGCTGCACCCTTTCAAGTTTAACAATATCTTTCTGATAGCAGAGAGACCAGAATTGAAAGGAGTATTCCAAAAGTGGCCTAACCAGCACCCTGTACAGTGGCAACATGACATCCCAACTCCTATACTCATTGACCAATAAAAGGCAAGTGTACCATAACGCCCTCTTCACAACTCTGTCTCCCTGTGACTCCACCTTCAAGGAACTATGAACCTGCACCCCCAAGGTCTACATTAGACAACACGCCCCAGGACCCTACCAGCATACAAGTCCTACCTTGGTTTGCCTTTCCAAAATGCAACACCTCACATTCACCTAAATTGAACTCCATCTGCCACTCCTCATCCCATCGGACCATCCAATCAAAGTCCCGCTGAACTGAGATAACCTTCATCACTGTCCACTACACCACCAATTTTGATGCAATCTGCATACTTACGAATCATTCCTTCTATATTCACATCCAAATGATTTACATAAATGACAAAAAGCAGTGGACCAGTGGTCACAGGCCTCCAATCTGAAAAACAACCCTCCACCACCAGCCCCTGTCTCCTACCTTTAAGCCAAATTTGTATCCAAATGGCTAGCTCTCCCTGTATTCTATGTGATGTAACCTTGCTAACTAGTCTGAGCTGTGTTGGTTTATTGTGAAGTGCTCTTATCTTCTGATTACACCGGGCCTTAAAATACACTTACAATTCATGCATGCAACATCAGATGAAAAAGTTATAAGATTTTTAAATGCTGTCATATTTTGTAAATAACCATTTCATCCTTATGTCATTAGGAAGAAATTTTTGTTTCATTGTGTAATAACATTTCTTATGAAAAGTGAAGGTGTAGTATTTAAATGACAGGGTAAATGTTAAGTGGATTTACTAGATCATTCATTTTGCACTTATTCACAAACTTAAATATTTTAAAAGTACTTAAATGAGTGACTGGTCAATCAGAAAAATGTATTATAATGTAGGGTAACTGCCTAAGACGTTGACTTTGCATTTCTTGAAGGCTGACGTGTTTGACTTGTTGAATACTTCCAGCGTCCACAGGATTTGTTTTTGTTTCATTCTTTTTAAGTTTGTTACATACCATGAAGCCTAACTAACCACATAAAGGGAACATCGATTTTAAACTTTTAAGTTTCACTTGTCAACAGAGTTTTTGAGTTCTAATCTAAGGCTTATCTACAAACATAACAACATTTAGAATAGGCTCTTGCAAACCTCAGGGCACACAAAATTCAAACAGGATAAATCCACAAATAAGCAATAAAAGCACACATATCAGTTTTTTGCGAGGTACATTATTGGACCTCATAGATAAGGAACCCACAAGGTGTAGCTTTGACACCAGTACACAAAGGTGAATTCTGCTGACTGTTTGAAATTTTGTGCTTCTGCTGAAGCAACCAACACAATTCAAGCATATGAAAACGGTGAAGTATTACTAAAATATATTTCTACCAATTGAGTACATCAGATTACAAATGCAAATGAATTGGACAAAAAAAAGATGAAAGGTGAGTGAACATAATAAAGTAACTGAACATAACTGTATTGCAAAACACTGTAAAGTAGAAACTGTTTAAAGTTAAGTCTTGCAGCCTAAAAGTATAACAAATTAATAACTATGTGTATGAATGGATTATAGATATTTTTAATCAAACTGTTCAGATATATCACCACACATCTCTACAGCAGGTGGGACTTGAACCCAGACCTTCTGGTCCAGAGGTAGGGACTACCACAGTTGCAGAAGACCTTTACATGGGCAGATTGTATACTGATAAAACCTCAGTACTGAATCTTTGTTCGGATCCTTATTACGATTTATTTTACAAAAGCTAAGCAACTCAAGCTGTATAAGCCTAATGTGTGCACACATATAGTAGAAAACCCTACATCTAAAGAGCACTCACAAAGTTAGGTGTGGACGTGTTTGTCTGTGAACACTTTTGCTGGATCCCCTGCCCTGGCCTCTTTGTTGATCCTTCTATCAGGCTTGACAGCCCATAGATGACTCAGCATCCTTACCACATATGCTTCCTATACAAGGTTACCCTTTAGCCAAACGTTTTGTAAAGAAGTTAAGAACTGGATTAAGCTGTTAAAACAAGATTTGTTGCCCAAGTCCAAATAGCACATTCGGCAACCAGTATATTAGCTGACCACATCAACATGGAATTCAAGAATACCAATATTATGGATCATTTTATGATAAAGTGCAGACTGTCTTGGTACTGTCAGTGGCAGAATAGGTGATATTGGAATTTTACCGCCAGCAGACGTAAAACCACTCAAGACATTACACCTTGCTGGAATATTTCTCAACATGCACCAATAGACCTCCAGATTCTTGTCCAAATGGAATTCAGACATGTAATGTGGCTGGTATTCAACTGTGTAGGCCATTAGAATGGAGACTGATGGATTCTTATCCAGCATCTCCCACGTACATATTTTCCAAATAGACTGGTTAGAAAATCAGCAGACAGAACTTAAAAATGTGTCCAAAAAATCTGCTTTTAAACTCATACAACTAGCATTTCGGATTTGAAAAGACTGGAAGACGTTCCAAATACACTTATTTAGTTGCAATCCAACCGGTTTCCAAGGCAATGTCACCAAACTCATGCTCTAACTGGGAATGCAGGGGCTGTCTGGACTGGTTGAAGCTTAAGGGATGAAAACATGGACTTGAGGTCACTTCTGTTATTCATTCAGTATTGTGGGCACTTGTAAAATTTGTCAGCAAGGGTCCTAAGTGCCGACGGTCGCTAGAACTCTATTCCAGCAAATTTTTGGTTAAAAAGTGCTAGAATGGGTAAATATGAAGAAAGTACGCATTATCAATTTTAGTTAATCCTGCTCATCAAAAAAGTTAATAAAATCAATTAAAGATAATCAAGTTATTCGTTTGAATTTTGTACGCATCAGTACAGCGTTGTAAGACTCACTCACCTGGTTACTCTCTCTAATAATAACTTGTTCTCTGTTAGTCAATGCAGCGCCGGCACTAATAGTGTGGAAATTCCAAACTTTGCGACGCATCGTCCACATGGTTTTGCTAAAAGCAATTCCCCTCGGCCCACCTTTCTCTCTGCACCCTGCTCATGAATGTTCCACAAAGAGCAGTTAAAAACATCGACAGCAGAGGTATCTAGCTGTTTGAGAAACGACGTGAGCAGAGGGCTAGCGTTTCCAAACATTGCTTTTAACACCACCATGTGGTGTTTCAGTCAGCGCCAGTCACTGCAGTTAGACCTGAACCTCTACAGTTCCTGCACGCGTACATTCGGACTTAAACCAAACCGCATCAAACATTCGACATCACTCCTACATTTAAGATCTTGACACACAAATAATATTCATTGTCCAATAACAGAACTGTGACGTTTAGTTCTAAAAGAAAATCCCTGGAGCAAAATTTTCACATGCACGATGCAGCCGTTATGTTAACTTCTGTTCTGTAACTATAAAAACCTCACCAAAACGAATCGCTGCATCTAAACGTACCCACTCTGCAAATGATCACAGAACATAATGCTGAGTTTTTCCGAAAAAAAAAGTACAACTGAAGTCACTACCTGAAGCAGATATCTTCACCCTCTTGCTCACCCATGTTGTTTAAACCTTTCCGTTTCAGGAAGGAAATCCATGCACAAAAAAAATCGCTAAACTCATCATTTCCGCTGACAAGTTTGACAGTTGAATGGGTTCAACTCGATTCCGTCAACATTTAAGCAGCAATAACTGCACCAACAACAAACTCGCGCACAGAAACACTTATCTTTCACCTTGTGTCCTGCTTGTGGACAGCGATCCCTCACTGGGCTCATCTCTACTCTGCGCGGCCAAGCAAAAACTTACATAATTTACCAGTTCGACATGTTGAGTGGCGGAGGCTCAACTGGATCCTAATTTCCAACAGTGGCCTCGATATTCGGTTCCGTGAAGCCAAGGTCCAACTACTGACGAAAGTTAAAGAAACTGCCCTGACAGGATATAGTGCCCGCAAAAACAGAAAACAGCTCGCACGGTCTCTCCAGCGTTAGGGCTAAGTTGAACTTTAATTGAGGTTGGAAAGGCAAAAAAAAACTTACAATCGCGTTTATGCTTATAACTTCGAATGTGATGGTTTGCGTTGCTACTTTTACTGAAAGCGTTCAATGAGTATTGGGACGTGCGTGCTCCTTTCGTTGCACGTATTTTCTGGCTACTCGATAGTGAAAGAGAAATTGAGATCAGACTTACCAGAACATGGATGATAGTCCGCTCAATTAACTTCTATCTCAATATTCGAAAATAAAACATCCCATTGTTAAAATTGTACCTAAGAAGGCGATACACAGCAAGGAAGGGGGGGGTGGAAATGGGAGAAGGGGGTATGGGAAGGCTATGGTGGGTGAGGAGGGGGAGGAAGGTTGTGGGAGAGGGAAGTGGGTGGAAGATGATAATGGGAGGCGGGGGAAAGGAGGGGGGAACATGGGACATGGGGACTGGGCATGGGGGCGGGGTGGTACTGGGGACGGGGGGGGGCGGACGAGGGGGGG